CAAATCCAGGAGATGAAATCAAACCTAGACAATATCGACTTCAAGATGGCAGCTGAGGAAGAGAAGAAATTACGACATGATGTGATGGCTCATGTGCACACGTTTGGCCACTGCTGTCCCAAAGCTGCTGGCATTATACATCTTGGGGCCACCTCCTGCTATGTTGGAGACAATACAGTAGGAACCCATGTTGTTTTGTTTCCACTTAGGACTCAGTCGTTATTTATAATGCATTTACAAATTGTATTTTACTTTATCCAGTTTGAGAAAGTGATTCCATAGTTCTTTAGTTTTAGGGATATCTTAATGCTCAGGAATTTTCTGCTTTTGATATCCCTTCTGTCTAAACTATAAGCCCCTACTCACCTCCATAGACTAAGACCTGCAGGTAACGCTTACTCATTGGCATGCTGGACACAACCCAAGGTCTTAGCATTTTCCTGACCAAGGTAATTTTCCAAAGGAATTTTTTCGAGGTCCATTACAATTCTTTACTGTTACATCAGAAAAGAAAAAAGGGTTGCATTGTGATTCTTAAACAAAACCTTTAATTAGAAAAAGCATCAGCATATATTTTCCTAAGAGTTTACTAGGTGCCTGGCACTATTCAGAGCACTTTATGTATATACTAGAGGCCCGATGCACGAAATTCGTGCCAGGGCTCAGCCCTCGCAGCCACAGCGGCTTGCCTCGGCCTTCGCAGCCCCGACTTCGTCTGGGAGGTCGTCCAGACGGTTGTTCTGCTGTTCTGTGTAATTAGCATATTGGCTCTTTATTATATAGGATTCATTTATTCTTCATGACAGTCATAAGAGTTAGATGCTATTATCTCTATTTTAAAACAGCTTTATTGAGGTATAGTTTACATACCATAAATTTACCCATTTTAAATATACAGTTCAATGAGTTTTAGTAGTAATGTTTGGGCAAAGCTGTTTAATATAAGACCATTGCATTTTCCTTTGCAGGACCTGATTATTCTTAGAAATGCATTTGACCTGCTTTTGCCAAAGGTAAGGAGTTGGCAGAAATTTCCTACCAGCCCTAGATTCCCTGTGATAGGGGATGGGCACCACTTACAAGTAAATCAACACAATAGTCATCTAAATAAATGCTCATTTACTCAGGTGAATGATCCTATATCTAATTTCTAGTCAACTCAATTTTCAAATGTTCGTTGCTATGAACTCTTTAAGGCACTTGAGGATACAAAAATGAAAAGATGCCTGTGCCTTCATTGAGCTGGAGGTCTAATTCTATATTAACTTGTGTAAAAGTCTAGTTCCTGATTATATAATGAGCTCAACCTGAATTCACCCTCTTTCTACCGCATGGTCTTTCTTATAGCTTGCCAGAGTGATCTCTCGGCTTGCTGACTTTGCTAAGGACCGAGCTGATCTTCCCACCTTAGGTTTCACACATTTCCAGTAAGTGATATGATTGCATCTTGGGAATGGGGCTTGTTTATGTGCAACTGGCTTTCATTTAGTGTTCAGTTCTTCTGCAGGGAAACCTTGAGGTGGATAATCTCAAAACAGAGCTTAAGCAGATCCCTGATACCTATGCTAAATGCTGTACTGGCGAGAGAGTAAATGTAATAGTTCATTTGGGAAGCATTGGGAAATAAGTATCAGGAGCCTTAGAAAGTATTCATACCCCTTGATTTCATGCTTCTATTCTAGGGAATCTAGACCAAGGAAATAATCCAAATTATGGGGAAAGCTTTATGTACAAAAGTCTTTGTTAAAATATTATTTATAATAGGAAACAATCTAAATGTCCCACAATAAGGGAATAATTAAGTAAGATATATAGTATATCCACAGGTTGGGATAATATGCAGCCATTAAAATTATTCAGGTAAGACTAATATGGAAACATGCTTAGGTTAATGTTAGGGGATAAAGACAGTATATAAATAGCACAAAAATTGGGAGGAATTATACCAAGCTGTAAATATTGATTGCTATGCTTTAGGAGATAGTAGGGTAATTAATCTTTTTCTCTACTGCTTTTTTAGTTTTTTATTTTTAAAAAGTGCAAATATTTTTATGATTACTCCAAAAAACCCTGTTTAAAAGCTGATGATGTGATTTTTGGAATGCGCATAGCAGGTTTTGAGTGATGGTAGTTCAGAAGTGGTGAATTAGCATGTGCCTTATGTTTTGATGGGGTATTGCTATGGTAACAAGTTTATCATCTCCTATATCATCAATTTAGGAAAGCCCAAGTTGATTTTAATCTTTCTAAAAGTTAGGGTCTGTATTTATTGGTAAAAACCTGAAGAAATTGTCTGTGTGAAGGAGTCAGTGCTCCGTGTCTGTGTGTCTTGGCCAGGACAAATGTTCCTCTGCTGCCTCCCTACACACCTAGCGTTCCCTGTGTTGCAGCTTCGCTTCCTCTCCGGCATCTGTTGGAGATGCGCAGGGACTGCAGGCATTCCGGTGTTCGCTGGGGATAGCATACTGAGAGGTGTCTGCTGCCACAGTTAGCAGGCACTGGGAACTCAGAAAATGGTGTAGCTGGGTAGGCATCTCCTCGGTGTGTGTCAGTCCCTGCAATGAAAAAGAAACAACTTTATTGAGATATAATTCACGTATTATAAAATTCATCCCTTTTAGTGTACAATTGAGTCGTTTTTAGTATATTTACAGTTACCAGTCATCACAGTATATAATTTGAGAATATTTTCATTACCCCACAAAAAACCTGTACCTATTAGCAGTCGCTTTTTTTAAAAAATATATTTTATTGATTTTTTTACAGAGAGGAAGAGAGAGGGATAGAGAGTTAGAAACATCGATGAGAGAGAAACATTGATCAGCTGCCTCTTGCACACCTCCTACTGGGGATGTGCCCACAACCAAGGTACATGCCCTTGACCGGAATTGAACCTGGGACCTTTCAGTCCGCAGGCTGACGCTCTATCCACTGAGCCAAACCGGTTAGGGCAACAGTCGCTCTTATTTCCCCATTCCATAGCCCCTGGCAATCACTAATCTATTATCTGTCTGGATTTGCCTCTTGTGGATATTTTATTTAAGTAGAAATCATACAATATTCGTCCCTTTTAACTGTTTTTTTGTATGTGTTTTTTTAAGCTTAGCACAGTGTTTTCAACGTCTACCCACATTTGTCCATTCATCAGTTGGTAGATATTTGGGCCATTTCCATTTGTGGCTATTATGTATAATGCTGCTGTGAACAGATCCATGCAAATTCATGGGAAATAAGTATCAGGAGCCTTAGAAAGTATTCATACCCCTTGATTTCATGCTTCTGTTCTAGGGAATCTAGACCAAGGAAGTAATCCAAATTATGGGAAAGCTTTACAGAGAGGAAGAGAGAGGGATAGAGAGTTAGAAACACCAATGAGAGAGAAACATCAATCAGCTGCCTCTTGCACACCTCCTACTGGGGATGTGCCCACAACCATGGTACATGCCCTTGACCGGAATTGAACCTGGGACCTTTCAGTCCGCAGGCTGACGCTCTATCCACTGAGCCTAGCCGGATCTGTTCTAGGGCTTTCATCATCACAGGGCAGATATTTTTATTTATTTCTTTGCTTGTACCTGTAATCTATTAGCAGGAGTTAGCGAAGAAAACTACTTCAGATTAATTTGGAGATATAGCATGTGGTCTGCCTGCTAGAGACATTCCCAGTGGTGTTTCTTGATTTCTCCAGCTATCAGTATCATCAGCCAAATAGAGAAATTCCATCTGGAAGGGGCTCGGTCATCTATTAGGACTCCTGCATTGCTGCAGTTTATTTGTAATGTTTTATGTTCAGAAACAGACCTGCAGTGGATTGGCTTAGACTTCAGACTGCACACACAGCCATTAGCTGTTACGTTCGAGTCCTTTGTTATGTGTGTTTTGGGGATCTCCACAGTATGGCTGCTCCTCATAAAGTCTTGACTCCTTACAAAGAAAGGCCTTCCTTGATTGCCAATCTAGAGTAGCATTCTCCATTGTCCTCACCCTCATTTTCTTTTTTCGTATTTTTCACAACAAATCAACAGTTACCTTCTTTGTTTACTCTACAATGTGCACTCCATTGGACAGGATGTTCCTCACCCTCATTTTCTTTTTTCGTATTTTTCACAACAAATAACAGTTACCTTCTTTATTTACAGTGTGCACTCCATTGGACAGGATGCCTGTTTGGTTTGTTGTTTTATTTCCAAAATCAAGAAAACATTAGATCCTTGGCAAATGGTTTTTACATGAGTTTATGTATATTTCTTACCAAAGTCTGGAGATAAACAGACATTGTCTCTGCCCTTACATTTCCTCTTGATGATGAAGAGAGAACTGTGTTGGGAGCCCTTTAGCTTTGTAATCTTTGAATATTCATAAGTGGCATAGAATCTTCTTAACTATAATTTGCTCAAAGTTTTTAGCTCCAGTTTTGTCCATCTCTTACTTTAGTTCTTCCCAGAGGTAACAGTGATGACTAGAGGAAGCAAGGAAGCTGTTATGAAAGTCAGTTCTTGGTTTGGAACTTGCCTGTGTTCCCTTTGGCTGCCTCCAGGCCTGCTCAGCTGACCACAGTTGGGAAACGTTGCTGTCTTTGGATTCAAGATCTTTGCATGGATCTTCAGAACTTGAAGCGTGTCCGAGATGACCTGCGCTTCCGGGGAGTGAAAGGCACCACTGGCACCCAGGCCAGCTTCCTGCAGCTCTTCGAGGGAGATGACCAGAAGGTACTCTGAAAGCGACCTGGGGACACAGGAACTCAGTGGTGGGCACAGAGAAAAGCGGACCCCGGAACTGGAGGGGATCGATCTCGGGATGCGTGGCATCTGGACAGGAAGGGGTACGGGGAGCGCAGTCTGTGCAGGATGAGATATTCTCATACTAGACACCCCTGGATTACTATAGGGATGTCTTTTCTTTCCAAGGTAGAGCAGCTTGACAAGTTGGTGACAGAAAAGGCAGGATTTAAGAGGTAGGTAAATGGGGAAAGGGCTGGACTCCCTAGTAAATGATGAACAGCCTGTGTTCACTGTATCTATAGATTTGACCTTCACTTTTTTGGTGTTTTCCTTTCCACTCACTTCCTCTCATCACTTGCCTGGGGTTTATTTTCTAATTGTCTGGATTCTATTTTCTTACAATCTGTAAAGAAAAAGGAAACTTTTACTTCTGAGATGTTTAGAATAATAGCCTTACCCATGTTGCTGTTTTGTTTATTTACTGAGACCTCCAGTGCATTAGTTAAACCTGGCCATTTCCATTGAGGGCCACTGGGCTCCACTGTGGCTCCTTCCAGGCACATCCTTCAGGCTGCAGCAGGACATGGACACATGGACCTTTTTCCTTCTTGAGGCAGGAGCTGACTGGGTATTAGTAAAAAGGGTGGAAGAGCAGTTTGTTCCAGGAACTAGTTGTCAGGTCCTCTGGGCCGAATGTGACTTTAGTATACCAGTGAGACCAAGCTTTCACTTAGGGTCTGTTTTTGTTCTTTTTTTTTGACACAGTCACATTTTGAAATATTTCCACTTAAGGCTCTTTTCTATTTATTTCTAGGGCTTTCATCATCACAGGGCAGACCTATACACGAAAAGTGGATATTGAGGTGCTGTCTGTGCTGGCTAGCTTGGGGGCTTCGGTGCACAAGGTGAGTGGTGGCAGCTGGTGGGGTGGGATGAGAGCTTTGGACACCACAGACAGACCAGTCAGCCTCAGACTTACTTACGTCGCTCAAGCGATGTCAGTTGTCATTTTTAACAATCTGGGGCCCTAGTCCCTGCCCCCAGATTCCTGCATTCAAGAATGGGGTAATGCCTCCACCCCTGCTTTTCCTCAGATCTGCACTGACATACGACTCCTGGCAAACCTCAAGGAGCTGGAGGAACCCTTTGAGAAACAACAGATTGGTGAGTGTGTGTGAAGACTGGCACACCGCAGAGGTGCTGCCAGGCTTGTGGGCGTGTGTTAACGGCTCACACGCCAGCATGCGCAGGCTCTCGCCCTCCTCTGAAGTTTTTCTGCCTTTGCTTCTTGTCTTTGAACGTGGGCAGGCTCCAGTGCGATGCCATACAAGCGGAACCCAATGCGCTCAGAGCGGTGCTGCAGCCTTGCCCGTCACCTCATGACCCTGATCATGGACCCACTGCAGACGGCATCTGTGCAATGGTTTGAACGCACGCTGGATGATAGTGCCAATCGGTCAGTGGAGTGGGGATGTCACAGAAGCATGTTTTGAGTGTCTGCATTTTCTCATTGTCCCCAAGGAGCCTGGAGTCTCAGTGGGAGGCAAGAATATAGAAAGAACGGTGTGATAAGTGTTAGAATCAAAGTGTGGACAAGGTACTCTTTGTGAGGAGTCAGGGAAAGCTTTACAGGAAGACTTAAGAAATAAATAGACATTTTAAAAAGACATTTAAGACAAGATTGGGAACGTATAAAAGCCCAAAGACAGAAGAAGGACATTTTACGGAGTAAACTGAGTTACTAATAGGCACTGGGGAATGAAGTCTCTATGTGGCATGAGATGAGGTGGACCCATAGGATTGTAGCCAGTTGATGAAGGGTGTTATAGGCCCTGAAAAGGAGTTTAGCTAATGTTCTGAAGGCAGATAGATGTCACCTGTGGTGCCTGGCACAATGACATGTTAATGAGGTGTGAAGTGGGTCAGAAGTAATTTCAACATGTATGTGGTTTTCTACTGTATGTATGTACTTATTTAAAGCAGATTCACATTACACTGGTTTGCTTGCATTGTACTGGGATTTCTTGAGTAGAGGATACGTAGTTAAAGCTAGCTTTTTGGGGTCTCTGGGTAACCCAGGGTTTACCTATGGAAATATGGCATGCACTCATTCAGAAATCAGCCGTTGAATACTTTTTAGCAGGGTGTGACCTAGTGAGATGTGCCCACTAAAACACCCTGCAACAGTTAGGACATTCCGTTATAAGGAGACATTGATCTAGTCAGAACAAGTTAGGAGGCTATTTTATTTTTAAAAATTTTTTATTGATTTCAGAGAGGGAGGGAGTGAAGGATAGAAACATCAATGATGAGAAAGAAGCATCAGTTGGCTGCCTCCTGCACGCCCTACACTGGGGATCCTGTGGATCTAGCCAACAACCTGGGCATGTGCCCTAACTGGGAATTGAACCGTGACTTTCTCGTTCATAGGTTGAAGCTCAACCACTGAGCCATGCCAGCGGGGCTAGGAGGCTATTTTATTTTATTTTATTTTATTTTTAAGTATATTTTATTGATTTTTTTACAGAGAGGAAGGGAGAGGGATAGAGAATTAGAAACATCGATGAGAGAGAAACATCTATCAGCCACCTCCTGCACACCCCCACTGGGGATGCGCCCGCAACCAAGGCAATGCCCCTGACCGGAATCAAACCCGGGACCCTTCAGTCCACAGGCCGACGCTCTATCCATTGAGCCAAACCAGTTAGGGCTCTAGGAGGCTATTTTAAAAATCCAAGTCCACACTGGCACAGTGGCCACGTGAATGAAGAGGAAGGATGTAGACATAAAACAGTGGCCGATGAGCCAGGGCCAGCCTTGGTGGTTGATGGAGTGAGTGTTAAGGTTGGTGATGATGTGCTAGTGCTGTTTACTGAGCCAGGAGCCACAGGGGGAGAGAGCAGTTTTGAGAAGGTGAGCAGGAGGCAGTGGAAAAGTGGCTGAATTCAGTTTGGGGTTTGAGATACCTATGGATCAGCCAGGTGGAGCTCTTCGAGTATATGGTCTGGCGCTTGGGCAGGTGGTCTGGACAAGAAGCGATAGATTTGAGGGTTGTCAGGATATGGAGGTTGTTGAAGTCAGAGAATGAAGGAAATTGTCCAAATAGCACATGTGACGTGAGAAGTCAATAGGACTGCTTGGGACACACCCTACATTTCACTGAAATTGTTACTTGTTTAAAGAGATAACTGAATTGGCTGTTTGTTTCCTAGACGTATCTGTTTGGCCGAAGCATTTCTCACTGCAGACACTATATTGAATACATTGCAGAACATTTCTGAAGGACTGGTGGTGTACCCCAAAGTAAGAGGCCTCAATTAAAAAGCAAAATATTAGGGAGGGGTTGGAGTGTGGGAAGGGGAGTGTAACCTTTTCCTGCTCTGGAGTGGGTATGTTGGGGGAGCTATAGTGTGATCCAGTAGTTCTTCCCAACAGGAGCTCATTCTTCAGGTTGTGACATGAGCTCTAGGGAACAAACATGTGGAATTTATAGACATGTTTCTAGAAAATGGGGAAAAGTACTTTGATACAGTCTACCAGCAAGAATCATCAGGTCTGGTGTGACTGGCAGAGTAGACTGTTCCCTTAGCCTGTGTGTTAATCCTCACCTGAGGATTTTTTTCCATTGATTTTTAGAGAGAATGAGGAAGGGGGGTGGGGTGGGCAGAGAATCAGTGGCTAGAGCATCGGCCTGTGGACTGAAGAGTTCCAGATTCAATTCCGGTCAAGGGCATGTACCTTGGTTGCGGGCACATCCCCAGTAGGGAGTGTGCAGGAGGCAGCTGATGGATGTTTTTCTCTCATGGATGTTTCTAACTCACTATCCTTCTCCCTCCCTCTCTGTAAAAAATCAATAAAATATTTTAAAAAAGAAAAAGATAAACATCGATTTAAGAGACACACATTGATTGGTTGCCTCCCACATGCACCCCCTACTGGGGCTGGGGATCGAACCTGCAATCCAGGTACGTGCCCTTGACCGGGAATCGAATTTGTGACCCTTCCATACGCAGGCTGACGCTTTAACCACTTCACCACACTCGCCAGGGCATCCCTTTGCCTATTTTTTTGTTGTTTTTGTTTTTACTTTTTATTTTTTATTTATTTATTTTTAATATATTTTATTGATTTTTTACAGAGAGGAAGGGAGAGAGATAGAGAGTTAGAAACATCGATGAGAGAGAGACATCGATCAGCTGCCTCCTGCACATCTCCCACTGGGGATGTGCCCGCAACCCAGGTACATGCCCTTGACCGGAATCGAACCTGGGACCTTTCAGTCCGCAGGCCGACGCTCTATCCACTGAGCCAAACCGGTTTCGGCTATTTTTACTTTTTAATTGTTATTTTCATAAAGTAACATTTTTTCTCAAAAACAACGTTTAAGCTTCATGTAGAAAACATTCTCAATGTAGCTTCTTCTTTACATTGTTGGTTGTGAGGGTTCTCTCCAGCTGGTCTTCAGTGGTTATTCAGGATGATTTTTCTGTCTTAGCTGTCATTCCAGTTTGGTCGTGGGAGAGTGTCAGTGTAGCTTCCATTTAATCTGCTACTATCTTAGAACCCCCTTTGCCTGTTTTTAAGCGCCTGAGGCAGGTGGGTTCATTCCCATCAGATACTTGGCTCTTGCAATGGCACTGAAATTTAACAGTTGAGGTTTTAGGAATTGTTTTCAATGAAGCAACTTTTTAAAGTTTCTTAAATCAATATTTCTTTTTTAAATCAATATATTTTTTTAAATCAAATATCTGGATTATTAAGAAAAATTAAGCCCTGGCCTGGAAGCTCAGCTGGTTAGAGTGTCGTTCTGATACGCTAAGGTTGCGGGTTCGGTCTCTGGTCAGGCCAACCAATGAATACATACATAAGTGGAACAACAAAATCAGTGTTTCTCTCCTCCCCAGAATTAATAAAAAAAAAATTTTTAAGAAAAATTAAACATATGGTATAGATTTAATTCATGACCCTGATGTGCATTTTGCTGGTCATAGTTGTTATCTTACTGTGTATATGACTTTGCAACTTTGAGGCCTTTCATTCATTCTTCCAGGTAATTGAGCGGCGCATTCGGCAAGAGCTGCCTTTCATGGCCACAGAGAACATCATCATGGCCATGGTGAAAGCCGGGGGTAACCGCCAGGTTTGTAACTCCTTGTGCTGCTGGATAAATTGAGTGCACCCTTCGTCCTAAAGAGGAGTGGGTGAAGGAAGGAGATTCTATCATTACCTTAAGCCATGGTATTGGTACAGAACAGTGACCATATTCTGTCGTAAAATGAGCTTATTCTGGAGGGTGAGTGTGTAGACTCAGTTTATTAAAAGTGAATCAATCCCTTGTAGAAAAGGTCTGCTCTTAGTGAAGGGCTTAGGTCTGAATTTCCATAGGAAGTGATGGGAAGTAGGCAGGGCACAGAGATGGTTCAGAGCTTTAGAGGAGCCTGCCCTCTCCTAGGTTGTGGTTAGAGTCAAGATCTTGGAGTCAGACTGTAAGGGGAACCACCTCAGCCCGGAGGGGCTTTGTGTACCAGCCAGAGACAGTGTGGATGTGAAGTGTCGGTGACTTATCAAGGCATTCAGATGCCCTGTTAGTGGTGAACCAACAATGCCTCACTGTCTTCCAGGATTGCCATGAGAAAATTAGAGTGCTCTCCCAGCAGGCAGCTGCTGTGGTCAAGCAGGAAGGAGGCGACAATGACCTCATAGAGCGAATCCTCGCCGATGCCTACTTCAGCCCCATTCACTCCCAGTTGGACCGTTTACTGGATCCTTCCTCTTTCACTGGGCGTGCATCCCAACAGGTAAGCATCGGAGCACTTCGGTGGAGCTGCAGTCTTCCCAAATGCCATCTTTTTATACTGCTGGGCTGCAGAACCTGGAAAATGGGAATGTTTCCAATCTGTGGGAGGTGTGATGTGAATGGGGCCAGTTAGAATTCGAAGCAGGTTGCTGGCTAGACTGTAAAGTTTTGGTTGTTTGAGCTGTCTTAACTATTTTCTGTGTGGATTTCTCTGAATTCTCCTTTGGTCTAGAGCCGTGGTCGGCAAACTGCGGCTTGCGAGCCACATGCGGCTCTTTGGTCCCTTGAGTGTGGCTCTTCCACGAAATACTGACTTCTGTGCATGGGCCACGAAGTTTCAATCGCACTGTATGTGCACGCCCGCACATGGTATTTTGTGGAAGAGCCACACTCAAGGGGCCAAAGAGCCGCATGTGGCTCGCGAGCCGCAGTTTGCCGACCACTGGTCTAGAGAATGTGGTATAATGGACAACAATAGGGTTTTATCTGATAGGTCTGAGTTCAGTCCTGATTTCTGGCATTTACTGACTGACAAGATAAAAATATACATTTCATAAAGGGATGTGAGATCGAAAGGCCTAGCATGATGCTTGGTGCATAGTGTGTATTCAGTAAGTGTTTGTCATTTTTCCTCTTGGTCTTTTGGGGACCACAAGAGTCGATTCAGAAGCATTTATCAAGTGCAGACCAAGTGCTCAGTATGTGTTTAATGTGGGGGCTTTAAAGATGTGTAGATTCTTCAGGGAGCTCAAACCTTAGTGAAGACTTGTAAATAGTTCATTATAATACCAAGCAGTACGCACAGGAATTGAGGGAAGCACATCTTTTGAGGGATCACAAAGGATGACATAACCCTCGAATAGTGGAAGGTGGTGAAGACTTCTTGGACAGCGTGACATCTGAGCTGAATCTTAGGGCCAAGTAAGAGTTAACCTGGGGTCACCAGTCTGAGAGGATATGTCCAGCATTGGAGAGAGAAATTGCAGTCATTTGATGGCATATCAAGTGCCCCAGAAGTAGTTATAGGATTTAAAGTGGAAGACAGGCAAGAGTTTATCATTTATATTCAAATCACTCTGGAGCTGTGGATTTGCAAGACTTAAACAGGAGGTAGGGCGGCCCACAAGGAGGCTGCTGCATGGGCCACGCACTGGATGATGAGGGCTTTGAGCCAAGGCAGTGGCTGTTACAGGCAAGGGGAGAGATCTGAGGGCTCCTAGAAGGGTAAGCACTTGGCAGCTGGTTGAATGAGGAGCGGGAAGAAGCAGTGATGATTTTAGCTTGGGTAACTGAGTAGAGAATGGTGAGACCCACTGAAAACACAGCTTGGAAGGATAGCATATGTGGGCATGGTGGCTAAGCTGCCGGTGTCTAGGGAGAGAATTCTGACAGGCAATTGAGAAAAATAGCTCAATGGTGGAGTAAATTCTTTTTTTTTTTTTTTAATATATTTTATTGATTTTTTACGAGAGGAAGGGAGAGAGATAGAGAGTTAGAAACATCGATGAGAGAGAGACATTGATCAGCTGCCTCCTGCACATCTCCCACTGGGGATGTGCCCGCAACCCAGGTACATGCCCTTGACCGGAATCGAACCTGGGACCCTTCAGTCCGCAGGCTGACGCTCTATCCACTGAGCCAAACCGGTTTCGGCGTGGAGTAAATTCTTTATCTAATTAGGTCTCAGTGATATAAACTGACATTGAAAAAGTATTAGCAAAACTGACATCTTAATGTTTTGTTTCATATTTGCTTTCCTTTTTGGTGCGTTGTAGTTGGACTCTGTTTCTTTTACAGCAAAACAGACTTAACGTAATAAATGTAGCTCATAGTTCACCCTCTGTTCTTTCGAGGCGTATTTTCCCTCTCATCTAGTCCTTTTCACACGTTCACTTGATTTCAAGTTAGTAAAGTTCCTGGTCCTCTCTTTTGAAGGTAAATTTGATCTGGGTTTAAGATGCAAAGTAACCTGGATCCAGTGACTCAGTGTGGTTGGATATCTTTATTTCAGTTATGTTTGGCTAAAATAAGTAATGAAATTTGGAGATATAATAAGTTCTCAAAGAAACTGATTTGATCATCAGGCTTACTCAGCTCAGATTGTACCTGGCCTGACCTTCATCTTTTGATAAGGCTTTTATATATCAAGTAAAAGCCAATAGGGAAGATTGATTTCATCAAGGCCTTTGACAATCTTTAATCCTGATTACACAAACTGATAGTTTGTTGAATTGGCGGTAGCTAAAGAAGATAGATTATGGGTTATCTCCACCGGAAGGGGGCGCAGCTCTCCATCACTAGCCGTGCCTCTACATACTTTTTCAGCATAGCTGGGAAGAAGACAGCTTCTTTATCAGATTTGTAAATGACACAAAACTAGGAGAATTAACCAATACATTATTTGATAAACAACTAAGATTTCATCTAACCTTAAATAGGCTGATTTGATGTGGCCAAAACTAAGAAGAAAAAATTAAGATAAATGTGAATAAGCTAACCTTAGACTCAGTATAAACCAGAAAGGGTTGCCAGTGAGATAAGACCGTTTTAGGATGTGTTAATGGTATGTGTCCAAAAAACTCACCAGTCTTACTGTTCCACACTCATGGTATTTTGTTCAATTTTGGACGGCCAGTTTGAGGAACAGATCATTGGAGAGCCAGCTTCCAAAGAAGACCTTATCATGAGTGGTGAAGGAATGTTAGGGCTCTTTATCCTGTAAGAGAAAACTTAGTGCTTCAAATATGGTTGTGAGGAGGAAGAATGACTTAATTATCTGTTGTCCCAAGAGAGACAACTGAGACCAGTACCCATTGTTGAGAGTCAGGCTGGTTTGGACCCAGACATTGCAGATGCTAAAAGTTAGTGATTCTTCCCCCACCCACCCTTTCAGGTCAAACAGAAGACTCCTGAGTTGTCAGGAATGGGAATGTTTTGAGGGAGGAGAGGCTTAATTGTCTCCATTTGTATGTAATCAAAGGTAGAAGTAAAGAGCTAAACTTATTGGAAAGAAAGAATAAGGCAATCTTGAAAACCAAATTTTATAATACAGTTCAGTGTAGCAAGCATGGATGATGTGGAGCCACATGACATTTCGACTCTCAGAAACAATTTGTCATTCCTCTCATGCGGATGTTTAAATCGGGTCTAGCACAAGGAATTAAGTCATGGCTCTGATCAATCACTCTACTTCTCTAGTGTGGGCCACTTCAGAGGAAGCAGCTACCATCAGTGTATCTGTAATCAGGATTTCTATTACATAGACACACGGGGGATATCCGATATCATGGAGTTTGGTTACTAAATTTCCTCAGAGGAAGTAAGATCTTGACAGTCTTGTTCTGACAATTCTATTGGATTTCTGAACTTGTGATTGGTGATCCTGGGCTATTTGAATGGGTACATTGTTTTGTTGTGTGTTTCTTCTTTCCTCTCATTCTCATTTTTATATATTTGTGATATATTTTAAGTGCAATTTTGTTATCTTATTTTCCCATTTAGCATTTTGATTAAAGGCATTTGGATGGGCTGAAGTTTGAGAAGAGAGAACATTCATGCCTTCTCAAAATTAGGTTTAATTCAGTTAACCAGTGATGCAAACTAAGATCTGAACCATCCAGAAACCAGGGTCTGGACAAACCCTAGGACAACTGGCTTCTGTTCAACTGCATTCAGAGTCCTGGACACTTGACTGCCCCCCTTTTCCCTGGCAGATGGTAGATTTCATTTAATAACCAGGAGAGAAGGAGTGGCGGAGGGGTAAGGGAGGAGGAAATTTAAAAAAAGACCAGGAGAGCCTGATGACAGGTGGAAGCACAGATTAGGTGCCTCCTGAATGGTGACACACATCCTGGGTGGATGTGAGGTTCAGTGGCTGCAGTGGCATAGCAGAGTGACACAAAGAAGGCATCTGAAAATGTCCTTTTCCTTTCTGAGCCCAGGAGGATTCACCAACTTTCTTCTCTGTGGTCAGTCAGGGAGCTGGCCGAGACTTGGTGCTGCTGTTGGTTGGTTTGCCTGCCATGGTAGAGAGTATATCCTGAACTGGAACCAACTAGAGATTGGGGAATGAGTCAGAAATTAAATAGAAAAAAAGTTAAAGATGTTGGAAAGCTACATAATGAAATATTAAGTGTGGTTTCTTGGATAATGAGTTCAGGTGGTTTTCATTTTGTTTTTGTGTATTTTTTCAAGTTCTTAATGCAATTTTTATTTAAATAAACTTTAAATTTTAGAAGTTTGGATTTACAGAAAAATTGCAAAGATAGTACAATATTCCCATATACCCCATACTTGGTTTCCTCTATTATTAATATACTAGAGGCCCGGTGCACAAAAATTTGTGCACTCGGGGTTAGTGGTCCCTCAGCCCAGCCTCTGCCCTCTTGCAGTCTGGGACCCCTCTGGGGATGACCATCTGCTGGCTTGGGTGTGCTCTCCAGGGGATTGGGCCTAAGATGGCAATCAGACATCCCTCTGGCAGCCCTCGGGGGATGTCCACTTGCCAGCAGGGAGCAGGCCTACACTGCAGTCGGCCATCCTTAGTGCTGCTGAGGAGGCAGGAGCGG